CCTGCCTCTTACGCTTCAGACCCCTGCTAATTGGAGAAGTGTGAGGGACAGTGGAGCTAGAAGGGACCGTAAATCCCCTGTTATAGGGACCCTCGCGTTTCAACACTCCCTGTAGATATGAAACACTAGATCTGTTACTCTGAGCGGTGGTCTGAGACATTCCTATCAAACCACCCTCTGTACCGTGTGTATGCTCTGTGTGTAAGACCACACTGCCCTCTACCTGTGACGGCATGTGGTGCAAGGGAACAGAGGACTGAGACAGTGGATAAACTTGATTCTTTCTTTTATTGAAAAAAGCTTTTCCCCCGCGTCTCCCACCACCGAAAGGGGGAGGACGCTGGAGAGATCTGTCTCTTGGGCCTCCGGAGGTCCAATCCTGGCCCCTGGATCTCGCTGGAGCAGGCCGCGCCGAGCGTGCAGTGGTCTGGGGGAAGGCAGGGCGACGTAGCGGGGACCGGTCCCTGTCTCTCCCTCTCTCTCTGGCTCTCGAAGAAGCGGCGTTGTTGACGCGGCGCCAGATGAGGAGCCAACTTGGCGGAGTCCTTCGCCGCTCCGTCGAGTCTCTCCATCAGACCTCTCATATCTGGGCCGAAGAGGGACTCTGTGGAGATGGGGAGGTCCAGAAGCTGCTTCCTTTCCGCTTCTCGGACATCAGCAAGCCCCAGCCATAGGTGACGGGCACCGACCTGCGCCGCTGCCATCGTCCGACCACCATCAATTGCGAGCGCCTGGATCATGCGGAGGGTCGCTGCCGTGGTGGTCCTGGCTCTGGTAAGGTCCTCGCCGCTCAGCGCCTCGCCAGCGGCGAGTGACCTGTCCAAGGCGCCTGTGATGAGCGCCATGTTGCTCGCCAACGCAACGACCTGTGCCGCGTTGGCGTAGCACCGGTCCAGTACCGACATGGACACCCGGTCCTTGTCGGTGGGGAGGAGCGGTTTGCTGCTCGGCCACAGGGAGGATTTGGGGAGGAGCGCCAGCCCTCACCGCATCCTCGACCTCCGGTACGCCTTTGGACCAGGACCAGTCCTGGACCTCACAGTAAGGACCGTACCCCAGGGCAGGCTTCTTAGCTGTGGAGGGCTTGGTCCAGTCACGTGTGGCGTAGTGGAACACCGGCTCCATACGCGGACACAGCGTGGGCGCCTGCCTCTTCCTCCCTCTCTGAGAAGACCCCACCGAGGTGAAGTCTTCCCTGGGTTGCGCGGGTTGCGGGGGGAATGGAGTCTCCATGGTCCTCGCCGCAGCCATGAAGAGGCGGGGCATGTGATCGAGCGGGAACCGGTCCGGCTCGCACAAGGAGGAAGCTTCGTCTAGCGTGATGAAGGAAGCCTGATCCTCCTCACGCTCCTCCTCCTCCACGACGCAGTCTCCCCACTCCCTGGGTGCGGGAGGCAGGTCTAGCGGCACATACTCCACCTCGAGTTCGTCCTCCTGGGAGGAACCCGGGTGAGCCACCGCGGAGTCCACAAACGCCATGCGGCGCTCTCTCTCCTCCCTGGGGAGAGAGAGGCACGCTTCGCAGCCAGCCTCGTCTCCCTGGTAGTGGGACACGCCCAGGCAAAGGAAGCACAGGCTGTGCTGGTCCTTGCGGGAGATCCTGGTCCTGCAGCTCCTGCACCGTCTTCGTCCGACGCCGGAGGGCGACGGGGTTCTCGGACGCGACGGGGAAGGAGACGACATCTTCAAGTAGTGAGTAGTTCTTCTCTCAGTGGCGCCAGAGTGAAAAGTGGTTGGCACGGGCCGTAGAGGGCTATTTATAGCTGGGACTGGCAGGTGATTGGAGCATTTAGTTCTCTCTGGCGGGAAGCAAGATGCTTCCGGAGTACCCATAGCGAAGCCTAAGGGGCGGTAGCACCATGATGTAGAATTGGAACAGTAATCTACACACACACACACGCTTACATTTACACTTGGCCCACGACCAAGAGAAGGGAGTATTGTAATGTTCCATCCATCCATCCATTTTCTACCCTTTAATCCATTTCTGGGTCAGGGGGGTGGCAGTCAGAGATGCCACCCAAGTCTCATAGCACCAGCCCCTCACTGACCCTCTGCAGGTGGTGAGTCCACAGGAGGACGGCTGCTCACTGAGTGAGAGCATAGCCTTGATCTTTCAGTGGGGGCTTTGGGCAAAGTGGGGTTAAGTGTCTTGCCCAAGGACACAACGACAGCAGTCATCAGTGGGAGTCGGTGGAGAAGGTGCAGAGGTGGGAATTGAACCCACAACCTTCTGGCCTTAAAGGGGACATATCATGAAAAATCCACTTTTTGTGTCTTAAATGCCTGATGTTGTGTAGTTGGAGCCTCTAGAAGTGCAAAAAAGTTGAAATCAGTCTCTTCATGGGTTGCAGAGAACACTTCATATTCTGTTTAGGTAAGATTTTTCAACCCGTTCTGGTTTTGCCATTCTCTATTACGTGTTTAGAATTATTACGTCACAGTATTTGCAGCGAGACTGCTATATAAGGGCATGGGCGTCTAACAAAACACTTCAGCCCAGCCCTCCTCTTCTGTGCATCACTTAATTTGTAGTCCAAGCTCAAGGATGTCAGCGAACAGGGCTGGACTGGCCATCGGGCGTACCGGGCAATGCCCAAAGGGCCGATGCCCATATTTGGGCCGGTCTGTCTGTCTCATACAAAACACATGTTTATGAGAAGTGTAAATCCGTTGAGAATTTTTTTAGCGGGGCACGCGTATCCGCGGGGCACCTGCTGAATGTACTCGAACGGGATTCCGCCACCTCAGCGGCCGCAGTGTTCCGGGGCATCTGCGGCCGCTTTGTAATGAGCAGCTTCCGCGTCCAGCGGCTGCGAGAGGCTGTGAGCGTCCAGCCGCTCCCAGCCGCTCCACCGTGTTGTGGCTGAGCGCGCAGCCTCAACGTGGCCATGTACCCAACCCCATAAACGCGCTCAGGACCATGCGTGTCTTTGAGTAATCTGTGCACCCAATAAATACACTGCTGCAGGAAACAGTCCGCGTCTCCCCTCTCCTCTCGAAGCGCGATTAAACACCCTAAATAAAGTTCTGATACCTACATTTTGCATTGCATAAAAAGTTCATGTTTGAGCCCAAAAGTAATATGTTGTGAACAAATTAAACAGATTTAGAGCCAGCTAATGGCTGACAATATGCATTTCAGTCTTTTTTGACCAATTCTCATCCCTGTAACAAACAATAGTGTTGTCTGTGTCATGTTGACATGTTCATAACCCTCTTGTAATGTAGACTATTGCATTTTATTTTATTGTTGAAACTGCACATATCCTGATCCTCTACAGTATTTGCTTCCACATACTGTATAAACTAGGAGTCGGCAACCTGCGGCTCCGGAGGTACATGCGTCTCTTTCCTTCTGTAGAAGGAAAAACGTTCTTAAAGTTTTTAAATGCTGTAAAATTATGCATAAGTAATATTCAATTTAAACATTTCTGTCAACGTAGTGCGTCATATCCTGCGACGTAGGCCCGCGCCAGGCGGCCGTTGTTGTAAACAAACCGGCGTGTGAGCATCATAGACTGTGCGCATCCCAAAGCTAAAAAGAGAAGAGTCAATAATAAGACTGGACTAAGAATGAAAATTAACATTTGCTTTCAGTCAATGAGGAAGGACTGCTTCATGTAACTACAAAAATGGCCGCTCGGGGTGGAGTTGAACCTGTGTCACCTGGATGGGGGCGTGGTCAAAAGCGCCTCATTTGCATTTAAAGAGACAGCACCAAAACAGGTTGCTCTCAGACGCACCTCAGAACAGGTGTAGAAGAAAGGCCCGTGGAGCTACAAATAATGAGACTCAGACCCAGGCATTGCAGTTACGCTTTATATAGGCCACAAATGAATGATTTAGATGTAAAAATCAATTATTTGAAATATGTCCACTTTAAATCCAAACAATCAACACATATTTTTTTTAGAAAAATCAATTAGAATATAATAGTGAAATTCAGATTGCATAAAAGCCATGTCAAAATACCTTGATAAAGTAAAAAACTATTATGAGGAAATCCCTACAATTCTTTCGCCCTTCAATTCTTTCGTTTTTTTATTTGGCCCCTGAACACAATGAGTTTGACACCTCTTTCCTGATGTTATAACCTTGTCCAGCTTCTTCCTGTCCCTCTCTCGGATGCCGCTGCTTCGACAGAACACACCGTACAAGATGAATGAGTCACAACTAATACCAAATGTGTCGTTGTTGTCGGCAGTCGTGTTTGGAGAGTGTATAAAAAAACCTTTGTGCCTGCAGTAACAGTCTGTTTCTTACATTCACTGGCCCCATGCAGACTTCTCTCTGCTTTGCATACTTGCTACGTACAATTAGCCAAATGGGACTTGTAGCTCAGTTCATCCCCTCAATTAGCTCCAAGCGGAAACAGCTGATTTCCCCAAAGGTCAAATTATTCCTCTGACATGGCGCCCCCCGTTCCATGTGAAGCCTCGTGTTCTGGGCCGGTCCCGTGCCGCCAAGTGCACTCATTAAGTAGTATTTGTGATGCTATTACGGCGCAGTAGTTAGAAGGCCAACTCGTGATGCGCAAACCATTTGAATCCATTAGCTCTGGCTTTTGCCGTTTTGTGGCTTGTTCAACAGTTTGTAGAGATAATAAAAATGTCGGTCTTATTATCCAGAAAAGGAGAGAGAATACACTTAGTGGTGTTGTGCCGTGGTCGGTTAGAAAGTTCATCCCATCATGACGTTCTGATAAACTGAAAAAATACATTCTTACTGGTAAACTGTAATGTATTTTAAGATGATTTTCAACTTTAGTTTAATTATTATAAGGTACACTTTATTGATCCCCAAATAGGCTTTTTGTCCTTTGCATCTGAATCATCCTGCAATGTCACTAGTAAGTAAGTGAGCTTTATGTATACAGCGCATACAAAAATTTAAAAATATACTGGCCAAGAAAATTATGTAAAAGCTTGCCCAAATAAATAGGGCATCTGGAAGAAGCAGTGGTTCTTCAGTGCAACTCCTGGGGCCCACAGACTGAAATGTACCCACAGTTGGATGAGAAAATGAGGTCTTAGATGGACAATGCTAACCCACTGTGAAGCCTCAATGAAGCCAAATACGCTAAGCACAGCCTGGTGGACACCGTTTTGCTCCAACTCACTCTGGCTCCTATTGACTTACATCTGAAAAGCAAAATTCTGTAGTTCAGTGACGGCTTATGTCACACTCACCACTAACACCATAGTTTGAATGCGTCACAGTTGATGTTGCTTTGATTCCGCTCCTTGGTTCTGGGGGAAGGGAAGTTCCACCCACTCAGGAGGAGGGTAGAGAGTGTCATTTCTTTCTGTCAGGATCTTAGAAGATACTGTTCTCAAAGCCCTGAAATGAGCCAGAAAGACTTGTTCTAACTCTAAACTGAACCATAGGGTTAATAAATGTTAACTGCTGTGTAGTACCGCTGTGTAGTACCGCTGTGTTGTACCGCTGTGTTGTACCGCTGTGTTGTACCGCTGTGTTGTACCGCTGTGCCTTATCTGTATTTGATATGATGGCAATGCATTAATTTATTGTTTTAATCGTAATAAGTTTGTTTTAACATTGGACCCCAGGAAGATTAGCATTGGTGGAAGCTACTGGAGATCCCCAGATAAACAAGAAACTTACGTCTTGGTGCTTACAGGGGTACTCTTGCACAAGTATTCCAATGTGGTTTAACTGCAAACATCAAACAAACTGAATCTGAATCTCTTTTGAACCATTCCCAGGTCCAAGGAGTTGATCAAGGAAGCCATCAAGGACAACGACTTCATGAGCAACCTGGAGGCGTCCCAGATCCAGGAGATTGTGGACTGCATGTACCCGGTGGAGTACGCCAAGCACAGCCTCATCATCAAAGAGGGCGACGTGGGCTCGCTGGTCTACGTCCTGGCAGGTCAGAGCACGCAAGAAAAAACACATGATGCATTCCTGTACAGCTCTGTGTGGCGTGAAAGTGCATTCCTGATGAGACAATCAGGCAGGTGCGAGGATGATTTGCGTGGCTGCGTTCCCTGACATCCTGTTGAGTCCGTTTGATGACACAGTAGGCCCGCCGAGCGTTAAAGGCGTGATTGAATCCTTTTTGCTTTCATTTACAGTGTACCGCTTGAACTGATTGTGAGACGTATTGAGTGTGTGCGTGCGGAGGGAAAGAGTAAGTTGATGAAGGTTGAAGGATGCTTCATAAATAGGAAAACAAAAGCTGAGAGTCATGTGAAACAGGGTTAACTATATGAGAATTTGGAAACTGCTAGAACTTTCAGAGCAGTCATGTTGACGGCAGTGCTAATGATCCAGGACACTTGACATTCAACGACATTTATGGACATTGGTCATCTGCAGCTTAAGCACCAGTAGATCCATGTGTTTTTTATCATTGCATTTCTTTTGTTTGAACTGTTTGATTCTGTGATCCGTGTCGGCAAAGCTCCGGTGGAAAACCAAGCTGAACCAGAACCAGAAAAATCACCTCAGCACTTTAACAGCACTTTAACTGCCATATAATGTTAGTTGCCAATCGACCAAAAATGGCTACATTTGAATACATTCACATTCTGAGAGTTGAAGGTAGAACCTCAAATATTCATTCATGTTCTACCCCTTTATTAGTCTATTAGCACCAGTCCCTCAATGATGCTCCTGCAGGTGGTGGGTCCACGGGTGATGGCTCCGTCATCGATGACTCAGGCAAATCTGTGTCTTGCCCAGTGTCTTGCCCAGGGACACAGCAACAGCAGACGGGTTGTAGCGGGCTCGAACCCACAACCATTAGGTTCGAAGACTTATGCTCTACCAACTGAGCCACTGTCGCCACACCTCATATAGATACAGTAAAAGTCAGTAGTTATGGAGACCAAATATGTACTGTACATAAGCGGTGTAATTACACTTCCAAAGCAGTCAATTTGACAGGTTTTAGTTTTGGGAGTTCTAGTGTTCTATAAACCAGCGTTAAATAAGTCATTATGGCAATACAGTTAAAGCCATTGGGAGTGTAGGAGATTTGGATGGAGGTGACCTACAAGTGCAAACAGTGGTATGGTTGAACTAAGAAGGCAGAAAAAGATTTGTCAGGCACTTGTTGGAAGTGGTGGATGACTTTCTCATATTTTGCACAGAGAAGTGAGGAAGTGATGGATACAAAGCCAAACTCCAAGGCACTCGAGCCAGGATGAATTGAAAAAGCCTTTATTAGAAAATGCTAGAAGGTTTAGAAAAGGCCCTGATGCATTTCTGCACGCCTGAGCCCTCTTCATGGTACTTACTGTGTATAACCTTGGAGATATTTTTTTTCCTCCATCACTGGCATTTTTATTTTTTATTGTTTGTTGACCATGCTCCACTGTTCTACTTAGCTAGTTCCTATTCGTTGGTTCATAATAAGATAGTTCCTATTCGTTGGTTCATAATAAGATAGTTCCTATTCGTTGGCTCATAATAAGCTAGTTCCTATTTGTTGGTTCGATCTAACCAGCGTTCAACGTTCCAACCAAAAGAGTCCTGCAAAGAATATTTATTTACATTTATCAACATTTATGGACATCGGTCATCTGCCCCTTATGGACCTGTAGCTCCATGTGTTTTTTATCATTGAATTTCCTGTGTTTGATCTGATCTGTGTTGTAATTTAGGGCAATAATAGATAAAAGTGAAATTGAATTAAAAATGCTGACCTAAAGATGGGACAGAGGCTAGAAAATTCACGAGAACTAGTGCTAGAACTAAACTATTGTGAGAGAAAGGAAATTATCAAGATGTATTTACGTATTTATATTTATTATAGTCAAATTTGTTGCTTAACACGCGAAGAAGAAAAGTTACGTAAAAAATCACAACACACAAAAATCACAGAATTCTAATGTTACTGTATATACTGTATGTTCTTCCCAATCCTGTAATATTGTAATACGTAATTGTTAATTAATTATTTGCCATAAAATTCCATGTAGTGACTTATGATATTTAAAGTTGGATGTACATTGAACTCCAAAAAAACAAAAAAAACTCTCAGCTCACCTCATATACTTTACTTTAGACTTTTCCCACACTCTTCGGAGCTGCAGTGTGTTTAGAGCCAGAGTGGACTTTAGCAGCGTGAGAGGCGGGCTCTTATCGTCTGTCTGGTGGTGATGGAGCGGTCACTCAGCCGCAGACCTCCAGATAAATCCGGCTTCTGCGCCGACAGCTCGCACTCCAGAGTTTTTGGCAAAGGTTGAAGGTGGCATTTAAAGGTTAATATTTTACAAGGAGCCGCGCTGCTATTGATTGGGGAATTTGTCTCTCGAGGGCAACCTTTTTAGATTACGGATCCTGCAAGTTTTTTTCTTTTTTTTTCTAGTTTTAATGGGCCTTTGTCTTTTGAAGAAGGAGTGGATCTGTGTGTGGGACATGACGGAGGAGGGTTTGAGGGTTTCATCTGACACACCGGTAGTGTTAAGTTAAGTTTATTTGTATAGCACAATTCATACAAAAGGCAACTCAAAGTGCTACAGAAATATATAGATTTATAATATAGATAATGTGTTTAGATTTTATTAATAGTCTGTGCACACTGCAAAAAAAAAGGAAACAAAAACCGGAATTGAATTAATAAAATGTACAAACGCTCACACGCGCACACACACACGCACACGCACACACGCACACGCACACACACACAAATATGCAAAGAATATGAGGAGAATAAGCCCTGAGTTTGTTGATTGGTATTGGCAGCAGCAGTTGTTTGGTCGATCCAAAAAACAGAGAAAAGGGCAAATAGACAAGTAAAATTGTTGTATTTTTATTTAACCAAATAGGACAATCTGGGAAAGAACAATTAACTGACTAATACGCAGTTCTAGCTTGTAATTTCTTGCACAACATGTTCAATATTGCAGCAAAGATAATGACGACTGGAAATACTGCTTTTAATCATCATGTGTTTGATTGGATTAGCAAAGTGCTTGTTGTTGATGTGCAGGTAACACATTGTCATTATTTTCTCATTAGTTTAGTGATTTACTCCCTGCGGATCATACTTTTAAACCAGTGAAGTCGCTATTTGTGAAGTTTTGCTGAATAATTAGGAGTTTGTTTCTTGAATGGAATCCAATCAACGATGTCGTCCAATTTTCTAACATCGATAAATGAACTTGAGTTTATTATTCTCAGAGGACACGTTTCAAAGATTTTCCTTCATGATTTACCTTAATAAGATTCATTATATGTTCAATCAATGTTATCCTAAAACAAGCCGCATTTCTCAGGTTTTTCAGACAAATGCCATTTTTTTCTATTTGGGTAAATACAATGAAATTGTAATTGTTTTTGTCAATTTTCCCTTCTCTCTGTTTTTTGCATCGACCAAACAACTGCTGCTGCCAAAACCAAACTCATTCTCCTCGTATGATATGCTTATTTGGGAGCGTGTGTGTGTTTCTTTGTGTGCGTGTGTGAGCGTGTGTGTCATTCCCAGGTTGTTTTTGGTGCAGTGGACTTTCCTTTTGAAAGCTCAGGGCCAAAGGTTTTATGCTACAACAATCAGAAAGTTCATCCAAATTGAACATTCCTTTCCTGCTTCTAAAACTTGTTTGTTTTGACACAGACAAAGCCTGGTATTGATATTGAATTTGATATTAAAACAATGTCCAATATGTGACCTTTAACTGGATCCATTCATCCATCTTCCGGTCTGCGGTTTCAGACAGATTCTACACAAAAATAATGAATCAACTCTAATAATTTAGCAGCATTCCTCAAAACTCAATTAAATATTTGGAAAAAACACTATTCACTGTTTCACTGTGTTCTAACAAGTCACTCTTAAAGCAGCAGTAAGCGATTTGGTCGTTTCCGGCAGTTTCTTCTGCCTGAGCGAGTTATTAGCCCCGCCCCCGTCTCCTCGTCACACCACATGAACGCGCATCGTCTTCTTGGTGATGGCAGCAGCACGTTCATCTCCGTCAGGTCTACTCGTAAGTATAACAACAAACTCTGGGAGTGAAATATTAGCATAGAATAGCTCAGTTGTAACCTAGCTATAACACTGGAAGCAGCTTGGTGTTAGCTAGGATAGCATCACTAAGAAAGAGATAAAAACAATCCAGTCTTTTATAGAATAACACTGCTTTTATAGTTGGTACACTGATAACTGTTGTGATAAACATAATGTTGCAGATTGCAGTGTGACGTGTCTCAACATTATGCACAGATGTTAATCTGTTACAGTGCATATGTATTAGATGAATGTAATGCATATACATAACAAAGCTTTACATGAAGGTTATTTAAAGTAATACATTACTGCTACTTATTTCCTCACAATTTGTATATTTGGAGTTCTTTATAGACAACACTGTAGTAATGTATTATGTGAAAGTAAAGCTGCATCTCACTGGAAGCTGCCTTCTCAATGTCACAAAATAAAGATACATTTATTGATGTAATCAACATCTGTATTATGTGCTTATTGTTCAGAGAATGAAGACAAAATCAAAGTGTATCAGAGCTGTACAGTGAGATGTGGGACTGAAAAACAATTCCAGTAAAGCTTGTCCGAAACGCAAAAATACTGTCATAACTAATTACGTTACACTATTACACTGTAAGGAAACTCACCACTTTGAAAGAAAAGCTACAAGTAACAGAATATATAAAGTCATTTGTCATAACGGTTCTTTCAGGAAGCACTGAACGCCCTCTGTCCAGAGAAGCTGATGACCAGATCCTTTCCCTGATGCGTCTGTGAAAGGTGCCAACAGACATTGAAAACGTGCTTTCCTCAGCGGCCCCCATGGTGCACGTCCACTCTGCAGTTCTGAAATATGTTTGTAGTTGTACTATTTCAAAATAAAAAAAAATACATACACCTCTTTCAATGTGCTTTGTTTTATAGTAGGAAAACAAATACAGTCTGTAACGAGTCTAAGAAACTTTATTATGTAAAAGATTTGAAGTTATAGCCGGAAAAATATACACAATGTCCCTACTAAGACAAGTAATTACAAGTGATGGTAAGGCAACGTTTGTGTTATCACTTTTTGCTCAAATGAATAACACTGTTATTATCCAGGTCCTTATCCATCGCTGCTGCAGCGAACACTATCAGAGATATCTAACAAAATGTTGATCTTTATGTTGTAGCTTGTTTGAACACATTTCCTCAAAATAATTCATAAGCAGCCACACACACACAGCCACAAGCACACACAGCCACAAGCACACACAGCCACAAGCACACACAGCCACAAGCACACACAGCCACAAGCACACACAGTCACAAGCACACACAGCCACAAGCACACACAGTCACAAGCACACACAGTCACAAGCACACACAGTCACAAGCACACACAGTCACAAGCACACACAGTCACAAGCACACACAGTCACAAGCACACACAGTCACAAGCACACACAGTCACACGCACACACAGTCACAAGCACACACAGACACACGCACACACAGTCACAAGCACACACAGTCACAAGCACACAGACACACGCACACACAGTCACAAGCACACACAGCCACAAGCACACACAGTCACAAGCACACACAGTCACAAGCACACACAGTCACAAGCACACACAGTCACAAGCACACACAGACACACGCACACACAGACACACGCACACACAGTCACACGCACACACAGTCACACGCACACACAGTCACAAGCACACACAGTCACACGCACACACAGTCACAAGCACACACAGCCACAAGCACACACAGTCACAAGCACACACAGCCACAAGCACACACAGTCACACGCACACACAGTCACAAGCACACACAGACACACGCACACACAGCCACAAGCACACACAGTCACAAGCACACACAGTCACACGCACACACAGTCACAAGCACACACAGTCACAAGCACACACAGTCACAAGCACACACAGTCACACGCACACACAGTCACAAGCACACACAGACACACGCACACACAGTCACAAGCACACACAGTCACAAGCACACAGACACACGCACACACAGTCACAAGCACACACAGCCACAAGCACACACAGTCACAAGCACACACAGTCACAAGCACACACAGTCACAAGCACACACAGTCACAAGCACACACAGACACACGCACACACAGACACACGCACACACAGTCACACGCACACACAGTCACACGCACACACAGTCACAAGCACACACAGTCACACGCACACACAGTCACAAGCACACACAGCCACAAGCACACACAGTCACAAGCAAGCACACACAGTCACAAGCACACACAGTCACAAGCACACACAGTCACAAGCACACACAGTCACACGCACACACAGTCACAAGCACACACAGACACACGCACACACAGACACACGCACACACAGTCACAAGCACACACAGTCACAAGCACACAGACACACGCACACACAGTCACAAGCACACACAGACACACGCACACACAGTCACAAGCACACACAGTCACAAGCACACAGACACACGCACACACAGTCACAAGCACACACAGTCACAAGCACACACAGTCACAAGCACACACAGTCACAAGCACACACAGTCACAAGCACACACAGTCACAAGCACACACAGTCACAAGCACACACAGACACACGCACACACAGTCACAAGCACACACAGTCACAAGCACACAGACACACGCACACACAGTCACACGCACACACAGTCACACACAGTCACAAGCACACACAGCCACAAGCACACACAGTCACACACAGTCACACACAGTCTCACGCACACACAGCCACACGCACACACAGCCACACGCACACACAGTCACGCTTCAGGGGCCCAGGTTGAAGGAACTGGAGTCTTCCTCTGGCAGAGATTTTCCTTTGAAACATAATAGAAGAGACATCAGTTTTATCTACTCAAATATGACTTTGATATATTCATCATCAACAACAGTAGTATGTATTGGTCACCAGGAGTGGCCCCTGATCCACAGGATCCTTGAACATGTTTATTTGGACTGTGCATTGTGAGAGAAAGACACTTACATCGGCTGTTTTGGGAGTCGAGTGATTATCTCACTCCTCTTGATTGTTGAAGAAACTCAGCGACAGTTTTGTCAACACTGACTCCTGGAACATGATCGATATTCATTTTGGACCTCAGGGCAGCAACACAACTGTAGGGATGAACGACACACACATCACAACATCATTATCATAATCACTGCGTCCCATATATGCATTCACAACAACCTACATGACAAATGTGGGGTGTAAAGTCTTCCTCAGGAGATGACAATGGCCATTCTTCTAATTATGGAAGCAAAGTCTTGTCTTCCCAGTCAATACTAGAGAAAGAAGAGGTCAGCAGAAAAGTATCTAGTCGTTATGGCATTGTTTTTTTTTTAATAGTTATTTAACTTGCATTATGGAGGCTGTTGAACTCTTGTACATTGAAGACCTCATTCCAATT